AAGAAAGAAAGAAAGAAAGAAAGAAAGAAAGAAAGAAAGAAAGAAAGAAAGAAAGAAAGAAAAAGAAAAAGAGGAGAATCTACAGGTTCAAATAGCTCAGGGGAGCTCGAAGAGCAAGCCCCAGCCAAAACAAAGCCATCCACAGGAGGCTTTGCCCCATTTGGTCTCTCCTGCTTCATCTGCAAGAAAAGCGGGTAACTCGAGGCGAAATGATAGCGCGGCCTTTGTTTCGGGACCCGAGAAGAGCGCTTGGCTCGGCAGCCAGGCCCGTCTCCGTTTTCAGTCGTTTTGCTCAGGTTCCACCACCTGATATCTCGGAGGAAACAAGGCGCTTTTGAGAGAGGCGCTCTGGTCCGTCCGCTCGCCCCAGCTGGGCCCCCTCCATGCGGGGAAAAGCGCCCCGTCACGGCGCCCTCGGAAGGCTTCCAAGCCCAGGCCTTGGGGAGGGGGCACGCAGCGGCCCCGGCTCCAGGGCAGCACAAAAGGAAGATTGTTCCCGAGAAGCTGGGCCGGCACGGCGGGCAGGGCCGGGGGGATCGAGATCTGGCTCGGCCCCAAGGCAGGTGGAGAAACAAAGACGCCTCAGGGAAACGCGGGTCTTGCTCTCCTGCCGGGGCTGAGGCACCAGCCTCCCCTCCATTCGAGTCCACACGGGCAAATCCGCCTTGCAGGGTTGTTGTGCAAGGCGCAAAGGCCACCTGCTGCAAAGTTTTGTTCACTGGCTTCTCCTCATCTTCTGTCTTATCCTAGCAACACCCCTGCAAGGTCGGTCAGGCAGAGCAACACTGGCTTGGATAGGGCTTTGCATGCTGGCTTGTGCAATAAATCATGGCTTGGAGTGAAAAGGAAGGGAGCCTTTTGAACAGGGTCTCCCTCCTCCCGGGCAATTTTTAAATGTCCTTCTGGCTTGGATTTAAACAGAAATCAGTTTCATGTTTTAAAAAAAACACATTTTTTTCCTAGCCAGAAGGGCAGGTTGGCCATTGTCACCCACAATCCCTTGCGCTCCCCTCTGGTTGGGCTCTGTTCAGGAGCCTGAGTCATTTTCCCCCAGACGCCTTTGCGCGGCTGTCTTTGCCGCTGGCCTCCCACCATGCCTTGCGAGTTGGTGTTTTTCATGTTTTCCACCTTTGAGGGCTGTTCTGATGACGGACGTTCGCCTTCACCAATTGCTACCGAGATGCCACAGTTTCAATAGGTCGATTCACTGGAGGGTGGAGTCGTTGGTCTGATCGACCGCCTTCCTGTGTTGCTTCGCTAATAGAAAAATAAAAGGGCGAGAGGGCGGGCAATTCATTTGAGTGGCAGGAATAGTACCCAATAGAATGACGGGAACACGATAAATAGCCCAGCCTCTCCATGGTCGAACACCAATAGGCGGTTCGTTACACCTGCTGCAGTTTCTGTGTTCTCAGGCAATGAGCCAATTTAATGAGTCCCGCCTTCGGCGGGTTTCCGCCAATTGAAATGCGACGTTCGGTGTCAGCCTGAGTGACGTTCGCGACAGCCAATCGTTACGAGAAACCCCTGGGCAATTATGGCACTCTTAGCCAATAGAACAGAAGAGGGGGGAGATCTCCTTGCTGCCTGAATTTCCCCAGCTGGGTCGCACAAAACGATCTCCCCAGCCAGCGGATGAGGCGTGCCGAGCCTCGAGAGGCAGGCCGCACAACCAATAGATAAAGAAGGCGACCGGAACAGCCCCGCCCCCTCTGCCTCCGCGTCTCCAATGAGCAGCGAGGTCGAAGAGGGTGGCTCGTCCCTCTGTAGCGACGGCCCCTTGACCCTATGGCCATCCGGAGCGCGTGCTCCCGCCCTTGACAGACGTCCCTCCCGGCCAACGGCGAGCGGCGGAGCCCCGTGGAGTGGCGGGCGAGCGCTCCAATGCCGAGTCGCGAGCGCGCGGGGGGGGGCC